CTAAGCAGTAAAAATCACCCTAAACTCTCTCTTCTATCTACATCCAGTTTCGTTTAAGATTAATTTAGTAATTCAAGTGGAGCCAGAAGGGAGAGAAAAAGGAGCATAGCAAAACACAGTATGTGTGAAAATCTACAAGCATTAGATAGCTAAACAAACCCTAAGTCCCTCAGTGTTGCGGTAAGGTCAAAACCTTTCAGCATTGTACCAGTATGTCAAAATATGTCAACAAACCATCATACTTCAAGAAGAAGAATGACCTTTCAGTTCTTTATGTTTGGGCCGCTTTGGTACTGGGTATGCATGAACAGTTTTCCTAGCCACTTGACAACTGTAACTCCCAAGATTTCTTCTAAGTCAAGTTGTTACAATGGTTTTCAACTCACCAAAACAATTTTTTAAACTATCTGCAACTGAAGAATACTAAACCTGCTAACAGAACAGAAATCCACAAACTCACAGCAGATCTCCCTCTTCCCTTCATCTACAATCAGACAACAATTATTACTTCAACAGTCTTCACAGTAACCTGTTAAACCAATTTAAAGAGATGAACAGCAAAAAATGCCTGTAATTAGGATCTCCTGATTCAGAATTTGCTCACATAGAATTCATCCTTACTGTCAATTGTAAATGAATTTGTACGCAACACTTTTCTCACAAAAACCTAGGAACACATTATCTGTGTTTGTGCTGCGAAATACAATCCTTTGCATAATTTCTCTTTGAATTTATCTGAATTAAATACCCTTTTATTAATTGACAGGGCTCTATGATAATTTAATAATTTTACTATGATTTATAGCTATGAAGTCCCAAGATCAGGCATAATGTATCAATTAACAACATAATGAATCATGAATTTAGGCTTCCAAAAAGTGTGGTTACTATTTTAAAATTACTTACGGGAAACTTGCTTTTATTTATTCTTTCAAAAAAGCAAAAGCACAGGACTAACCATTTAGAACACAAACAAATGGTGGAAAGAATTTAGCACAGAGATGACTTACCATTTTTATTCAAATAGAAGATGAAATGCTTCTTTTAACTATGTGAAATTGCCTTTAGTTTAATAACAGTGTCAAATATGACATTTTCCTACGTTTTTCCTCTCCTATAGTAAAGTTTCTTTAGCTAATAATGACGTCAAGCTATCTCCTGGGACTCTCTAGAAATTGCATTCCAGACTGTACATATGCCTTAGCCATGCTTGAAGAAGACAGAAAATATAAATTGCTGTATTTGAGTTTATATCTTACAGCAAGTCACTGACAGTGCACCCACTAATTACTGTTTGAACCATGTGTTGCTGATCTGTATATCCTTAGAAAACAGTAGTCATGCCTGTCAGCTCTGACTAACAGACTTCTACAGCTAGGACTCCAATTTTTAATTTAAGTTTAAAAAAAGTTATAAAATCAGACATTATGGAGGAAAGAAAAAGAAACAGCAACATTCATCTAAACCCTAAAATAATTTACAACATGTTCACAGACCCCATTTTAAAACGCAATCTGTGTAACTTGCTGCTCATGCTCTCCAAATTACCTTTGGTCACACTAACCATTCAACAGCTTTTCTTCTCATAGTTACAGCAAATACACCAATGTAGACCAGTGAAAAATGAGAAGTGTGGTAGCTACTACTGGTGCACAAAGCAACTATATTTTGTGCCTGGAGTTTCTTTCTTTACCCAGTGGCAGTGTAAGCTACAGTCTGCTCAGTGGATGCAACCGCTCTGGAGGAATAAACAAACTGAGGGAAGTATATTAATCACTCATACTAAGTTTGTCCAGTATATAAAATAGCTTTTTTTCTAAAACATAATGCTACAAAATGCACTTTGGAATATGCAAGACCAAGCTTGCCTTTACCTGTTTCTTTATTATTGAAAAAATCTCAATATCTAAACAACATCCTAAATTATAACTGTGCAAATCCACTGACAAGGTACACTTTGTACATTTTTAATGTGAAGCTTAATTTGAAGATGAGGTTGCAGTGCACCACTGCAATTGAAAATTGCTTAACAATACCATTGATGTATGAGCCATAAAAAACCTTGCTAAGCTGTCCCTGCAGAACTCAGAGTAATAAAAAGGTGTTCTTCTGCACTGAGGTGAACAGACATGGTTGACTGCATCCAGGGAGCTGTTCTGTTAAATGAGAAAGTGCCATTTCTTTCCTGTCAGTACAGACCAATTTAAGACACTCACAGATTTAGTTAGCACAAAGTACAGGACTTAATGAAATACACACATAACAGCAAACAAGCCCCAGCTCTGTTCAAAGCTTTCAGTCAGATTCTGAAAAAAATTCATCTTACATCTGTGACATGTGATAAAAGAACACAGAAACTTTTCCAGTTTGACTCACAATTTTTAGATAAGCAATAAAAAAGCTGAACAGAAAAGGTCTAAATCCTCTCACTTTCACTCCTTTCAAAGTATGTAGATTTGTGTTTGTATCCACATCTAACAGGTGATACAGCTTTTCTCTTGAATTTAATTTCTGCTTTAAGTTCAACCAATGGGTCAGGTTTAAAAAACCCTAAACTATTACTTGAGTGCCATATCATCTCTGTTGTGAACTCATGCTTGTTCTCCAAATAATTTCTCTTTCAAGAGGAAGTGAGACAAAAAGGTACAATGAATTGACTGAGAATGTGGTTGTCTCTTGAGAGATGTCTGCAGAGACTGATTAAATAATATAGAATTGGTTCACAGTTTGTGCAGTTACACCTGTGTTCTTTCATACAAATAGTTCCAGAGACCAATGAAAGCTAACTGTCTAACCTACATGCCACCTAATCTGTCAACATGTGTTCATTAACCCAAACGTCATTATATTAGAAACTACAGTAATTCAGAACTCATTTCAGATGATGTGGCTCTGTCAGCTTGGCCAAGCAGTACCAAAATTAAAACTAACAGGATTTATTATTTAAAAAAAAATCCCCACAGAAATCTGCCTAATTTCCATAATTAACCTAAATTTTCAAATTAGGGTGTATTTATCTTACTATGGAGAGTTCTAGTTTCCTTTATATGAATGTGAATTCACTATATTTAAGAATCAACCATTTTTGTAGTTGTTTCCAATACAAACAGCTATAACAGTAGATTTAGAAAAATCTCAAAACTACTTCCAAAATGTTTTATTGGTCACGTATCATTTCAGTCTAGCTTTTGAAACATTAAAGGTACTTGACTTACAGCACAGTGAGAGATGTTATTCCATTTTTGAAGTTGAATTATTAATTGGTGCACGTTAAAATTAAAATGAAGTTAGCAACGACTTGGTTTCTTGATAAAAGCATAAGAGAAGTTTCCTTTGGAAATGTCAGATGCAAATGGTACACACTATTCTCAAATGTTTTACACTAATATGTGGATAGACACTCCATAGCACAAAAAAAAAAAAAAAAAAAGAAAAAAGACAGAAACTGCAATGGCGATCTTATTACAAACAACAACTGGATCAGTGCCTTCATTCTACCTGTCAATGCAAGTTTCACCATATCTCAACTTAGTATCTTTACACTCAAGTTATCAGTTTAAAATTCACTTCTTGGAGGTGTTCTTTGATACCATAATGGATGCCTTCAAACACACCCTTTACACTGAGAAAGTATTCCAGTACATCTAATGGTCTTCCCCCAGCCTGAGCTGCTCCATTTCCTTTACAATGATGTTCAGTTCAGCACTGTTTGCATCACAGTCTTTCCTGCCATTCTCACCATTTGCCTAGATATTGTATATACTCAAATTTCTAGGTTTTATATTCTGTGTTTTACAATTTATTTTCTACAACTCTTCTAGAACATAATATCTTCATCCAACAATTGACAGCCTTCCAAGTTTCCCAGTAGCTTGATTCAAATTTTCCAATTCTCTGCTTTCTGGGATTGTCAAGTAAGAGCAGGTCCTTTTCGTATCAATCAAGAATATTGCTGCAGAGCATAATTCTGCACTTTGATGATGTTATTAACAAGATCTGGTTTCCCTTTCTAGCTGCTTTCTATGGAACCTGCTTTTAAGGTATTTCCAAAGATAATGCAAGTTATTTTCACATTCAGGTGAAATACTAATGGTCACCAGACTAGTCTCTGATATTGGCACACACCCCCTTTCTGTTGCATGTTCACACACTTGTGCCATGCTCTCCACTATCCCTCTCATGGTATCTTGTGGACACTAAGAAGACTTCTAAATTTTTGCTTTAAAAAAATCTGTTATTAAAATTCTTATTTGCCTCACTACCTTGCTTAGGGTTCTAATACATAGAAAAATGGCATTGAAGATGAAGCACTGTAATATTTTTTTGGGAAAAATTCCTCCAGTAAGGAGGTGTCTAGTACCATGGAAAGATTTATAAATACACACAATAATGACTTTTAGAACAATAAAGCAGAATAACCATATTTAAAAGAAAATATCTTTACACTATCAACATGCCACAAATTCTGTCTAGCACAACTTATTTCCCCCTTTATCCTGCAAATACTTACTACATTTTCAACTTGAAGATAATTGTAATCATTGCTTCAAATGTACAAAAGAAATACTTTATTAATAAATAACCACTGTGAAACAGTACTGTCCTACTTACAATGACAATGAGCAATAACGTCCTTTATACACAAACCCCACTTGGTTAGGTGGGGAAGATTTTTTTAACAAATTTGTTACTTTGCACATATTCCAAAATGTTACAGCAAAGTCTTCTTTCTAAGGTATTAAAAAACTGACATATGACTTCTGTACCAAAATAACTTACTCTGTCATCTAGCATCACTTTAAAATCACCATATATATTTGCTGCACATTAACAATTAACATCTCAATTTTCCATAAATATTTCAGCACACCAACCTGAAATGCTAATTAATGACATTCAAAATGCCAGATTAGTAACATGCAGAGTCGGTAGTGCTGTATCCAATAACTTTTTAAAATGAAGTCCTATTTTTCTATAAGGGAAAAAGAATAGAAATATACCTGTTCCAGTAGCTCCAAAACTGGTCTTGCAAGTGGGCTTGGTGGCTACTTTCATCACCAAATGAGGCTTTGCTTTCAATCCAGTGAATTATGTGTCCTTCCACAGCTATGGTGACAGTAGAAAATAAACTGAACTGTAAAAATCACACTCAACAGCCTTAAGACTGTGTTAGGGAACATTCTGTTTACTCCACAGTCTACCACACAATTCATGCTTGCAACCGCATTACATATTTGTAGAAATTATCTTTCATATATGTACAAAGGGATTTTTAAAAATACCAGAAAATACTTTTAACAGATAATAACATGAATTTCAGTTTAATTACAGCCTGTTCCACATATCTGCATTTATTCTAACACAAAGAGAACGTAAAGAAAAATAGATTAGGCTAAGAAGCAGTTGTATTCTTCTACTACCCTTATGTTGTTGGAAGGTAGTTGTCAGGTAAGAAATTGGAAACTTCTGCTGAATGATAAAAACAGTTAGCAAAGCTGCTAAAGACAGACACTTGCCACCAATCCAGAATGGAAGGTATAAGAAAGGGAAGGAAATTTATCCTGGACTGTGTCTGCTTCCTTTCTTTTGTAAAACCAGTAGTACTTCTTTAGAAAGAAGTTAGGAGTAAGAAGGCATATGTGAAAAAATGTGATTTTGAATTCCTGTTTCTTTCTATGATTTGGTATTTGCTTTGTTTCATGTCTTTTATCATTTCTTGTAGGAGTGAACTACTAATATTAATAAAATCATCATTTTTTTGGAAAAAGGAATGTCCTTTCTGAAACCAACAATGTAATTTTGCTGAAGAAACAATGAGCATCACTCTAAGAGACCATTATTTCTCCAAAAAGGTGGTTTTGGGTATCATTGTTAAGATCTTTAAAAATGTTACCTTTATTTTGAGTTACCTACAATATCCACAACCACAATGCCTTAGCCTAAATTTAAGACTTGGAATGAGGTTTTCAGAGAACATTCAAACCTAGAAACCTAGAAGCACTATACAAAAATATCACAAGAGGCTGTAGCAGCAAATGATTGACCACAGATGGCAAAATTACTCAGGAAATCTGGGAAAATAACTAATGAAGTCACCACACTAAGCTCTATTTGCTACCACTACCCTGCTATCAGTAACCCAGTTAACTTGTGTAGCCTACACTACTACATCCTTCCCCAACCCCAACACCTTTAGAGCCCAGGAGATATAAAAGCTGAGGTATAATCAGCTCAGATGCTGTTTCTAAGAAATATCTGCCTTTCCTAGGTTTGTACTAGGTGATGAAGAAAAGAATCCAAGGATTGCTATACCTTAATTCAGGTCAGATAACAGGTAGAACATGATTTCCTGTAAGTCTCAAGTGACTATAATAATTTGAAAGAAGTAATGCACTATTATTATTTGAATTTGAGACAAATATATGCAAATTAATTAATGACTACTTTTAACCTTCTTTCTAGTAGGATAATAATACAAAAATAATTATTTTGGCTGTTCCCTGGTTTCCCTTCTCAAGAATTAAAAAAAAAAAATAATTGCTTTTCTAGTTTCCTTTTGATCAGGATCCTGAATAGGTGCAACATAATCTCATGTTTCTAATATAAAAGTGGGTACCCTTAACACCAAATAGGTACTGTGTATTATGGTCCACATTACTGGGCAATCTTACTGTACACAACTTTCTGAGGAGCAGGTAAAGAGGGAGGCAGGCTCTTTTCAGTGGTGTCCAGTAACAGAACCAGAGGCAATGGGTAAAAACTTACACACAGGAGGCTCCACCTGAACATTAGCAACCACTTTTTCACTATGAGGGTGCCTGGGCATAGGCACACGTTACCTGCAAAGGTTGTGGATTCTCCCTCCTTACTGATATTCAAGTGCTGTCACATGGCCTCAAGACCAGAAACTTTAACATGACCTTCATACTTATTTTTTTACCTTATTCTTTCTTGCTATTCAGGCTTTTAAAAAACAGTAAAAACCTGCAGAGTTGTATCTGGATGCAAAGTGGTGGTAAAAGAATAACTGCACAATGACAAACCTTTCTGCAATGACCTACAGGTGTAATGTAATAATCTTAAGACTACTTTGGACAGATTATTTCAGAGTTTAGTTCAGAAGGAGAGTGGGTAGAATACATTAGAGGGAGCAGGGATTTGGAGGTTTTTACTCTTGCTTTTTTCTTTTTTTTTTTTTTTTTTTTTGATAATGAGATAAAAACATGCAGAGACTAAAGAAGAAACACTGGGTAACACTGTTTAGGATCAAACCTCTCTGACTCAAACTAGAAGTTCTTAGAATTATTGGGTAATTCCTGAAGAGACTTATTTGCAGTATCCTAGAATATGCTTCACTTAAGTAGCCATAATATTTTAGCATGAGTACTTCTACACAAAATAATAAAAATTCTTTTAAAAGACTTACCTACTGGTACTTCTAAAATAAAGTCTGGTGTTTTGTCATAACCCTTTGCACGAAGCTGATCTTCAGCTGTACATAGAAAATAAGAACTACTGTTTATAAAACTATTCCATTAAGTAGACAGCAGCATAATTAATTTTATTCTAAATAAGAGTGCAAGAATTACTAATGCAGTCATACATATCTTTCTTATGCATGCAATGCTGTGTCAGATTAAATGAACCTTTGTAGAAAACCTGAAGCATGGATATAAAAATGCTTCTTTGTCATCCCTGCATTTTTATGTCTTCATTATAAACATCATTAATTCAAGCTGTCATACAATATTTTATAACCTCCAAATATTCAAAATAAAGAGGTATATTCACTGATTGAAAGAAGAGTCTCTCCACCTTTGGATGTGTTAAGATTAATCCTACCAACACCACAAATGTAGATATAGTGTCACTGCTGCCTTGGTTTTATTTTTAATGTTAGCATAAAGTTATTAAAGAAAAAGAGCAAGAAAAGCCTTCTCTCCCAGAAATTTATTAAAGAAGACCCATAATTTTAGTTTCTCTTGCATTCTGGATTCTGTAGAATTTTTCCAGTTTCTGAACATAGAAAGATTTAGACATTCTGCTAACATTACGTCTACAACTTTATGGCTTAAAAATATTAGAGATGAGTATTTCAAGAAATAATAATGAGTGAGCAAGACAAAACTGCAAAAGGCAAAAGAAGCTCCCCTAAAAAAAAAAAAAAAAAAGGAAAAAATCTCATTCCACCCTTTAATATTTTTTAAACTATTGTCCTTGATTTCTGATATCATTACATCGGTATGTCTGAAACACCATTTCTCCATTAGAATTTGGAGTGACCTGGTCATTCAATTCCAGGCATGGCTTTCTGTCTTCACCCAAGCTCAACTAATGGCACTACCTAGTAACAAGTAAGGCTGTGTAGCCCCTTAACACCTACTGGGCTGTTGACATTGTCATGCATCCCATTCGCCTTTCTACATCACCTTTGATTAAAATTAATGGTCCATTCTCACTGTTGGGTAGCTTATTTCCAATCCATTTATCAGGTTAGGACACTAGTTTCATGGCCAATGTTCAGAACTCAGTTTTTGAATACTTTGTGCAAATCCTGAAAGGTCAGCAGTTTGAGTCCAAGTAACATTTTAATGACAAGGAAAACATACTAACTTAGAAATCAAAATACTGTAGTATTGCCAAAATCAAACCCTCCCACTCTTTTTCATTGAAGAATATAACTCTGAAGTATTCTATACAGTGAACTAATTCTGAAAGTGGGACAGAAGTAAATTTGGAAAGCTGAACATTCATGTCAAAGTAAACTACAATAGCTGTTTATTCTTTTTGAATGGTACTATTTTTTTTTTTAATTTTGAGAGCATTTCTTCACTATAAATAGACTACACTAAATATAAGTCTTTGCAATGTGACACTTCATTATCACATGATATGATAATGAAAAACCTTTATAGGATTTGGAGACAGACTTGGTTTTTGACTATTTTTTGAAACTTAGATTGTCATGTGTACAGATAAATGATGTAAAGATCAAGAAGGTTCTAATTTAACAGACCCTCTGAATAAAAAGTTTTATGCCATAACATAAAAATGAATTAATGTTCTATGCAATCTTTTAATCCTTATTTTAAAAAACCAACAAAATAATTTTATCCAAATCTAGTTAACTGCAACCTGCTCTTAATTGCTTAAAATAATCTAGCATAGACAATAGGATGTCCCAGCTGAAATTGTGTTCATTTAAGAGCAATAGCAATGGAAAGGTCAGTCTTTTCACATTTAACAAACGCTAGCACCCCAAAATAAGGGAAATGCACCTTAAAAAAACTTACTGAAAACCAAAATAGACGTAAACACATGTTTCATAGGTCAACATGGAAGGTCTCTGAACTGGAATCTGCATCAGCATTACTTTTAATATTCTTCAGCAGATTATTTTTTTCAAGGGTGCCTGATTACTTTTAAAATATTTTAATACTAAATGGCTTGGAAAAGAACATGGTTTTTGTTTTATATCTGGTTCTAAATGTCTTCATGTGGTTTTTCCTAGCATTCCGTACTGTGATTAACGTTGGAAAACATATTAAAGACCACGTTTATTATTGATGTATCTATCATGTGCAGAAACAGAACTTTGCATTACTATTTCTCCAAGTGTTTTGAAGTTTTATAACTCTGGGGAAGAAATAATTACTGAAACTCCTCACAATCACCATAGAATTTTTGTTTCAAACCATAACACCATCAAAAAGAAGTACTAGCTTTTCAGCCCAGGTATGTTACAGAGGCAGCATTCTGCACCTCAAAAGATCTTTAGACTCTATCATGTATTAAAAAATAATTCAGTAACTGCTTGAAAGCCAGCCCACAGCAGTTTTGACAGTGACATTTATAAATCCTCAGGTCTGAAAATTATGTGGAAACAGCCCTAATAAGTAGTTTGTCAACAGATACCCCATTAATTTAGATTTTCAACAAAACTGCAGCTTCATCTTTACCATAATGTCACACTCAATCAGAACCATTTAACACATCATTGTTCTTATACTAGCCCTCCTCTGCTGATGCATGAATGAGCTACAACTGCAAATTTAAGATTACAGCAGAAAACACTGATCAGATTTCATGATTTATATCCACTGGTGGGAACCAAGGGAGGATAAAGCTCAGTACCTCCCCATATATCTAAAAGCTTTCCTAACATACTCATGATAAAGATACAAAAATAAAAATCCTATACAGAACTTAGAAGCTCCTGGCATTTCAGTATGGCATGTGAAGCTGTGAGCCTGTTTTGATAAAATGCTTCTATTGATCACTTTAATCTCAGGCCAAGTGATAAAGACTGGAGAGCTGTGTTTTTGCTGAAAAGAGGACATGGTATATGAAGCACTTTTCATGATGAGTGGATTAATAAAATGTAACCCCCATTAGTGTGTATAGGTTTCCAATCAATTCTGGGTTAGCCTGAAGGTGTTACTTCTGATCTGTAGGCTTTGAAACCCAACTGCTCTAGAAACAGACAAATTCTGTCCAGAACTTAAAAAGCTGCTTCATGCTCTAAGACTGTACTGAGGCACTTCATATCCACTGCGTCCTTTGACTGTACTTTCCTCTCCTGTACTAGACTCTCTGTTGCCCAGGTGAACACATCCGATACAAACCCCCTGACTATTGTTGGAAGACAGTACAGTGGAACAGTACCGTAATATGGGAACTGCAATTGCAAAATTTCTTTCTTTGAAACTTGTTAAAAAGTAATGGAATTACAAGCCATAAGCCATGTAAATCATAAGCCTTCTTCAAAACAGGAATGACGAATTATGCAACAAAGCCCGAATTTGTAGACCTATGGGAAACACTGGCATCTCTTCTGTTTTTCTGGTCTTTTCTTCAAGCAGTTTTGGAACTAGTTTTTCAGAAAGGAAAGGTTGTATTGCAAGGGACTTGGTAGGGATCGTCTTACAGATACTAGGGAAAAGGGTTTTTTAAAGAATATCCCAAACACGTCTAAAATCTGAAATACATCCGTGATCACAGATATAATAAATGCAAATCTTAACATATCTTAAATCATAACTAAACAATATTTCACTATATATAAAAATTATGAACAACAAACTAAGCTCTCTCATTTCTGTCTTCGTATTCTAACAAGTTAACCTGTTCTAGATATTTTAATTCAATAGCACAAATTTCTTGGAGCTAATTTCTAAAGAAAAAATTTATCCTTATCCAAAGTCATTAAACAGTAAAATTTAAATGTGATTTTTATACTGCTTAAGCTTACACAAGCCAAATAAAATGATAATTCATTGGGTTGAGGATCCCTTAGTGAGCCATCCAGTCCATTCCCTTGTAATGTGATGGGATTGATTTCATTACCAGCTTTGATAGATGAGTGTCAAATCCAGCCTTGAATTTTTCATTGAAGGTGATTCCACAACCTTTCCTGGCAGTTTGTTTTCTACTTATTGTTCCTAGAACTGTTTGGTATTTTAACTTGCCATCATTTCTACAATTACAGCTTAAGCCTATTACATGTATCTATGCTCTTACAGTGAAATAAGAAAATCTGCCTCTTTTTATTTTCATAGTGTCATTTGCAAGCTTGTATGTGATAGTTAATCCTGTCCTTTTTTCACTTTTCTCTGAAATAAAAGAGCATACTAATTCTGTTCCTAAATCATATGGACAAATCTCTTAAAAAGCTTAATAACACTTTCTAACTTCTTAAATTTGTTTAAGGTTTCCAAAATCTTAACCTGATATAGCTTCAGGAGAGATCATATCTCCAGGTAAACCCAGAAAAATTCACACAAATTTAGTACAATGCTCAACCATTAACAGAAGAGAGCATTTCACTTCACTGTCGTCTCATCACATAACGAATCCAAGATTTAAGAAGTCATTGTTTGTGATCACATTTACAGAATGGATACTTTACACATTAATCTTTGTTTCAATGGCACTTAGGTAAAAGAAACATACTGCAGGCTAAAAGAAAAAAATGGAAGTAGCTTCCTAACTAATTAATCCTTAAAATAACTAAAAATTGGGGGTGTAAAAAAGAGTAATTGCATTGATTGGGAAGTAGGGGGTAAAAAATTCAGTAGAAACTGCACAGCAAGGTAAATGAGTGAATCTTCTAGCAGTTCTTTAATACATAAAGCATTCTGAAGCTAATATTTCATATGCTTCTTCCTAAATCTCATAAGGCCTGGATTATGGCTAATATCTCATGACACCAAAAGTAATACTACAGCAGATATTAAAGCATTTTTTTCAGCTACTTATTCTATAAAATATTAATTGCAAGCCTGTGCATGTGCTGTATATATAGGGTATTAGGTAACTGAGTTCCTGCTCCGTTCTAAATCAATAAAAGATAACAGATATAGCATCAATCATATTTTACTCTTCCTTTACTCCCTAATATAAGGAGCATTTGGGCTGAATTTTATCCTAGGTAAACAGTTACCAACATCTCTAAAGTTAAGACTTCACTGGATATCCTCTACTACAGATTCTTACCTATGAAAGAGAGATTTTTTTCCAAAAGCATTTCGCGCAGCAAGACTTCGTGCTCATGCCCAATAGCGCTGATAGCTTTAGGTTAAGAAATGGAAGATTACTTTGGAAAAGAAGCTACTTCATAGAAACATCAGATAGAATTTATTTGCCTTCATCTGCATTTCAGAAGTGACCAGTGATATGAACTCTTAAGTTTTGAAAATCCTTATAGTGATTTTTAGAAGCATACACAACTTTGCAAAAATCAGATTATTGTACCAACTGCATACACTTTATAGAATTAAGACCCATTTGACCATATTTATTCAGTATCTTTAAGGGCAATATTTCCATTTTGCATTCCATACTGTTTATTCTTCTAAATATAAAAGACAGTGTGATCTTAAAACATGCAGTAAAATACCTTTAAAGTTCCACTTTACTGACTAGTAACCAATTCTCCAATCCAGCAAAGGATGAAACAAACTGGATTTCTTTCTTAAATTCTGAAATTGATAGGTACTACATTAATCTGAAACATTTTCCTGTAAAAAAAAAAATCCTTTCAATTGATTTTTCAGAAGCATAACTAATGTTAGGGAAAGATGAAATCATATTTTATAGTGAGGTCCTTTTCACTTCACTGACAGCCTGTTGATCCAATGTGCTATTCACTGGAATATGTAAAAAAATCACCATATTAAGCATTTTTAATATATCCTCCTGGAGGTCAAAGTTCTATTCTGGAAGCTTTTAAGAAGAATCCTATGGAATAATATGACAAAAGATCTAATGTTAAAAGCAGTTAGGCTCCAAATTCTGTTTAAAGTAACTTCTTAAAACTTAAACTACAGATCATCTTACTATTACGGTTAAGTAATTACCTTATATGAACCCTTCATACTGAACAGCAAAGAAATAATTCTATGGAATCACTTCATATGTACATACAGCTTACATCAATTGAAACTATGTATTATGTTAAACTCTACTAGCAATTTCAGAAGGGACAAATGAAGAATGGCAAAAAGGTAAGAAAAATACTGCAAACAGAATTTACAATGCACCACAAGCAAAAACACTTAGTCTACAATAATACCTGTTATTGATGTATGGCAATGACCATGGGGCAAAACTTGTAAATAACATCACAAGCCATTTTCTACTCATGCAATCTAGCAGCCTAGTTTCCCGTAAGCATCTGAACTATTACTGAAAAATAGCCTCTTGGCATTTACAAAGAGGTTGACTTCATACTTTGGTCCATGCATATACAATTAGATAGTTATATTTAAAATCAATATGCAATCCTTCAGAAGACATTATGCTTTTAAAACCTTAACTTTAAATTGATTTTTAACTATTTTATGCACCTCAAAATTAACATCTAATTCAGCAACATACTTACAGTAATGCACTCACACAGCTTAGTATTAAACTTTTCTGTACCAAATGGAATTGAAAAACTCCTAATTACTCTCATTGATGTCACTGCATATTCAACAACCGATTTGAGCCAGAATATGAGGAGGATATAAAAATCTTTTCTAGACTGCAGGCAAATAAGTCTTAAAAATGGTCCATAATTCTACATACATGTCTTTGTTACTTTTAACTTGGTACTTTCATAAAACTACAGCCAGATTGCTCATCCACAAAATATTAATCTCAAAATTCTGGATATGAAAACCAGTGATCAACAACCCTTTAAAATGTGTGGCTTATTAGATTAATCCACTTTCAGAGCACTTTGTTTAATCGTGAAGATAGTCTCAATGAATATTTAAAATTACAATTAAAAGCACAAAATACAAAGACAATTAGAACTTTATCCTGCTGCTGTTAAAATTAATGGGGATAGGGCAGAGGATGTAGTAGACAAAAGTGTTTCTAGCAGAAAGTAAGTATTTTCAAGGAGTGACAATCACATGTATCACAACTACACAAAGTACTGGTTAATAACTAAACATCATTAATAACTAAACATCACCGCAGCTTTCCTATCTGCACCTGTACAGCAAAACCAGGATTTCCCCCCAAACTGCACGCAGAGATTTATGCAAGGATTCTCTAGGACTTGGGAAGGAACTGCCTTACTAGCCTGCTCAGTGACAGCAGGCCATGATTTTGAAAGTTTTCCTTTGATCACAGACTGAAACAGAAGAGCTGCTCCTTCAGGATTTTTTTAAAATAGATTTGGGTTCTTAGCGATCATTCCTACCAAATTATAATCTTAGTCTGGAACACCCAGTGTCATGTGGAGTTCCCTCAGTGTACACACCATATGGCTCTCTGATTAACTATTTCAACACTACAAAAAAAAAATCCCTGCAAATATTCTATTTTATATATATATAAGGTTTTTTTACTACAGCTAAATCTCCTTTAAGAAGAAGAGAAATAAAAGAACTGCACTGGAGTGTCAGATAGGAGTTTAAAAATACTAATCAGTCAATCACACCTGAACTGCACTTGAAAAAATTTCAGTTAAAACTCATATTCATAACAAAGCAAAGCAATTGTTGAACACTATGTATGTAATTTATTAATTTCATCACAGAATAACTGAGATTAGAAGGTATCTCCAGAGATCGTCTAGTCCAACTCCACCAGTCAAAGCATGGTCTATTAGTCTTAAGCAAAAACCAGATATGCATTTCAACGAATCAAAACCAAAGAGGTTCAATCAGGCATAGATATGAATGTGTAACCAGCAAACTGACATCTTCCCATGGTCCATCTGATATTTGTTAGCTCAGAGAAAGCTCTGCAGTGACCCTCTAGCTGACTGAATGCAAAAGAGAGGAGTATGAAATGTGTTTTGTGAAGCAGAACTTTATGTCAGGTTACAGCTAGACACATCTCTTCCACACAGTCTAAGCTCATCAATTGTGCACCTAAAATTTTATGGGAAAGGATACTGTTTGATGCAGTCCACCAGTGGTCCATAACAACAGTCATTCACAGTACACTGCAGACAAATAAGAGAAGTAGTATACTGATGGGCAACTACAAAACCATTATAGTTAAAGAGTATCTTAAAAACAGTAATTACTTTTCCTCAAAAAGGCTATCAGATGCTGTTCAGATTTAATCACAGAAAACAAAAACTGCATGCTTTTATTCACTATAAAAGCAAGCTATTAAAAAGTGAAATGCTCCCCTCACAAATATTGCACTGCCATTTACAGTGCACTCTGACCTCACTGATAGTTTATGATGACAGTAATTAAATGAGGTTTAAAATCTTTTACTCTGCTAGGCAGATAACAGAATTGCCACGGAAAAAAAAACCCAAACCAAACAAAACAAGTGTGATTAATACCTGATAGACTTGATTTGCTAGCACTCCATCTGGAATCTGAGAAGGGTCCCGTAGCATGCTATTAATAAGAGTTTTGGAGGCTAGAGAAATAAAAATTAAAAACATACAAAAAACCTGTTAGCTCGGTTACACTTTATTAATAAAAACACTGATATTAACAATTTTGAAAATTATCCATCCAGCAAATTTAAACTTACAAATTCATAAGTACTTACCCATTCTGATACAATTATCTCTAAAGTCTTGAACCACCAAAGGATTTTATCAGCCCAAGGTGAGAGCAGGCCCTTATTTACTTAGTTCTACTGGACAGTTTGTGCTTTAGAAGCACATACAGTTTCTAAGGAAACTGCTTAGTATACAGTAACACAAAATAACCTTAATATCCTATTAGAAGATATGTAAAAATTCTAAACAGCCTTTACGAAACTTCTTAAGCACTTCATGATTCCAATTTATTTGTTTCCAAATTAAAGTATTTAATTACTAAGTGCTGACACATTTTTCTGAGTGCATTAAAGAGCTGGGAAAAGGCTTTCTCTGCTTTTTTGAAATGTAAAAATGTAAGTCAAAAGAAATAAGAAGCTAATTTTAGCACTTATCATTTTTTTACTTGCTGATATTGATACTACAATGAAAAAATAAGGTAAAACAGGAGACACCTTTAGTTTATTTTCAAATACAGTCTTAGCAGTCATCGGCATTGTTTCCTCTCCACGTGCTTAGACTGGGTAGTTGCAAATGCCAGTTAATTACTAGTAGCAGTGGAAAGACTTTATTCTAGAAAAATACCTTCTAAAAACATCAAATATTTTTAAATTTCTCAGACAAAAGTCAACACTGCACATACTGCCTCTGTCCTGGGAACAACTTCTGATGGAGCTCAGCTGGTGGTGTATTTACATCATTGAATCTTTATGAGTAGATCAGGTTTGAGACCAGCAAGGTTCCCCACTTTGCCAAAGATTTCCTGCATGACTTTAACCAGTGTGTGCATCAATCCTGTAAACAAAATGAAAAGCTACTAATTTCCTGTTCTTCATCTGTTTTGCCCCAACTCAGAGCCAAACCCTTGTCATGGTCTTCAGCAACTGAATCAAAAGACTCAGGTGACAGCGTGAAAAGGACACAAAGGGATCTGCCATATGAGCAGCAATGCTGCTGTCAATGGATGTGTGTAAGCTCCTCCCTGAAAGTAAAGGAGACTGGCATTGTAATCCAAGTTACTCCCTAAGTTACCTCTTAAAAGCATCACATTCAGGTGAATGTAGCATTTGCAAGAAAACAATTTATTCAGGAAACTATACCACGTGAGGCAAAGGAATATAAGCCCCTGAATGAGTTTAAAGGCTTTGCAAGAGCTACAAAGAGCTATCATCACAGGCAGGAGCAAAAGTTCGTGCAAATATTTTCAACAACAATCATTTCCACTAAGCAAAAACACATCCAGAAGCAACATACCACATTACATCTATGTATCTTATTACTCTAATATGAAATAAATGTTAATTTTTAAAGTTAATATTAAGAATAAATAGGCATTTTACCTTAGCCTTTGTATGCTGTTAAAAATACATGTTTTACTTAGCATAAAACTTTGAAAATGTGAAATGAAAGGTGATGTGCACATTTACATTACTAACACTAAAAATTAAAACAGTAACTATTTTTCACTTGGAATAATATACAAGTAGGAATAATATAAAAGTAACAGTTTGCCAATAGAGAGGTTGATAGAATGGTAAAATAACGAATAGTGTAACAGAGAATTCATTGCTTTGAAGGGCTACTGATCTATATATTATTATTTGATTATGAAAAATTAAGTATTTTCATGACTAATCAAACTCCAGAAAAACACCACAGATTTGCATTTGGAAAATGTTTAACTGGACACTGTTTTGAGTAATGAGCTAGAGTTGCAAAATAAATTTCCTCTATTTCTAAGACTGTCAACTTCAGTTTCTCCATTCTGGTTACCAGATATTATATTATTTACATCTCTCAGAGTAATAATGAATTCACATACCAAATATTATATTAGGCTGATATCACACTGGTTCTAATAGTTGTTAAACTATGCTTCTAAAAGAAAAGGCATCAAACAGAACTGATTACTATACTGGCTTTGAATATATTATCTTTTTTTTTCTTATATAAACATTATCTGCTTATGTAAAGTCCTACAAAATTGAAAAAAAATTCACCCCACATATTCTTATCAGCTTTGCATTTTCTATCCAGTTAAGATAAGGTACTTTCAACTGCAATTACTGTTTTAAGAAAGCCAGTTACTGTAGTGGCAGCATCCCAACAAGTCTGACTGTATAGAAACTGAAATGGCATAGAAGCTTTGGCTAAGGTCAGAAAATGAAGTTTATTGAAACACTATTCTCACTTAATCAAAAGTAAGATGACACTGGTGGATATTTACACAAAAACAGGTAATCTGCTCTTCTTTCTCAAGCTGCTATACTAACTTCTAGTTGTGGTCAAGCTGAATTAGCAGTGGAATATAATAAAAAAAAGGGGGATGTAATACTGTTTCTTTTAAATGAAGAAATTACTTCTGTTTGCATT